ATTTTAGTCCAGCGTGGACAAGATAGGACTTTCCACAGCATGTTCAGGCTACTGCTGAGCAGAGCTGGGGGACACAGAGTCCTCAGGGCCATCACTTACCTTGGGGGAGATGAATTTTCTAAAACCACATGGGTCTGCAAGGCTCCCACCAGCACTGGGGAGGAGTGATGAGAAAGAGCTGTGGTGTGTCTCTCGTCCTTGCCGACGCTGTTTTGCAGTCCGGATGGGAACTCTGTTTTTCCTCGAACTGGGTTACTTGAAGGGACTTGGAAAACCTCATGGAAAATGGAAATAAAGGATGAGCTTATTTGTTGCAGTTTTTGAAATTCACGCATAGGAGAGGGGATACAAAACATTCACGGGCAAAGTATGTTAAGGACAAACTATGCACAGGTTTTCAAAAGTTTTTGCACCTAAATAAATTTTGAATTCTATATCTGGTGATGTTTTGGTAGTATCCTGAGTTTCATCTTTATTTGATCTGCCTTCAAAAACTCCAACCTTATTACAAAGATGAGTTTTTACCTGTGCTTAATGGAAAACAGTCCCCAACGTCTTCATAATTTAATTTTTTTGACTTTTGTAGCAAAACTGTAGTGAGAATTCCTGGGGTGCTGGTTCTTTCCTCTCAGCCCTGAGGAGGTGACCAGCACTGCAGGAAATCATGGAGAAATCGCATTGTGCAGTGTCCCTGGACATGGAGGAGGGGGTCATCTCCCCAGGGAGGGGTTCCTCTCCCAAGAGGGTGTGGGCAGTCGGTGCAGAGGGACCATCATGTGTTCCTGGGGCCCATGGCTGTGCTGGGCCCTGGGGGCTCCTCAAGAACTGCAGGAGACACAGATCCACTTGCTATGTGGGGGCAAGGGTTACCGGGCTCACTTCCTACCTGAGATGAGTGTGGGGAGCAACTCGGACTAGACTAAGTTACTGGAATTAAGACTTATTCTATGCATCTGCTCTCCCACAATATGGCGCTGGGAGAGAAGAAAACAGCTTCTACACAGCTGCCTCCAGTTCAGCCAATAAACTGTAGGACTTGCTCCTGATTGGAGGAGAGCAGCGTACTCGGCGTGTGGGTAGCAGAGTTGGGATTGGTGGAAGAGGACTATAAAGGAGGAGAGAGACATGCACCAGGAACATCTAAGGGGAACATCTAAGGGGAACACCTGTGCAGCCCCCGAGAGGCCGGCGGTGTGCCGCTCCCCCGCGGAAGTGGGGAATGTGGCAGGGGGAACCGCCCTTCCACGGAGGTGGAAGGGACGGTAGCCACCCCGGGAAGAACCAGCAGCAAACCCGGGAGGGAGGCCGAGCAGACGAAAGAACAGCGCAGGGTCCTGTGTCGTTCCTCCACGAAGACGGGGAGCGACATAATGGTGCCGTGACTCGGATATGAAGCCTAGGCAGGGTTTAGTGTCGTTCCCCCATGAAGACGGGGAGCGACAGATGAGTTTGTCGCTTCCTTGGGAAAACACTGCTCCTGAGGGCTCAGCACGAAGCTGTCCCAAGGAGACAGATGTGAGGCTGTGATGCGGCCATCGTCCCGTCCTAGTTCTGGGCAGTGCAGGACCTGAGGAGTTGAAGCAGGGAGTTTCTCCTTTTTTCCTAAGTTGCATTCTATGTGTGTGAGAGTGAAGAGGGGAAAGAGAGAGTGCTAGTGAGAGAGAGAGAGAGAGAGAGGGAGGGAGGGAGCTAGGGAGAGGGAGCTAGGGAGCTCCTCCATCCTCTGATACAGCCCATAAATGACCTCCAGGCCTTGGCCAGGCTGAAGCCAGGAGCCAGGAGTTTTGGTGGTTGTTGTTACAGGAGCCCAAAAACCCCAAGTGCCTGGCAGTGCCTCGATTCCTCCCTACCGGGTGGAGGACAGTCTCAGAGGATGTAGCTTTCTCGGCTGCCTCTGATTGGGCCTTCCATGTTTGGACTGCACAGACCCCACTACCTTCTGGGCTTCCAGGGTTTCTGCCAAGAAATCTGACGATGACTTAGGGGGAAAGGGTGACAGAGCCACCTTCCTCTCAGCTCTGGAGGTGCGAACAGTGTACCTGGCGGTGTCTTGGGCAGCAGAACACTTGTTGAGTTTACCGAGGCCAGAGATGTTGTTCCATCATTCTGAGACCCATCACTCAGAGAGTAAAGACAAAGGAGGGGCTATACTAAGTGGAGACACTAGGAGGTCTTCAAAAGATGCAACGTATCATATTTAAACTAGTAATGAGAAGGCCACCCAAGCAATCTATAGGTTGGAGTTTCTCAAAATTAAGTATCAAGCCCTATCACCACCTAGGCCAAAAACTCTTTGGGTATCGTTTTAATTTTATTGGAAGATTATCGAGAAAAACCACTGTGGATGAACTACAGCTCCCATTGGTCAATTTCTTGCTCTGACTTCATAAGTCACCACTGTTATGAAAGTCATATTACACAGTCCCTGGCTGGGCTGTGACTGGTCCATTTCTTGCTCTGCTCTCACAAGGCGCCATTATGTGAGGTGAACCCCCAAAAAGTATATATAGCTGCTACGGGGGCCTAGATTTTTGTCCGCCTTACCCAGAGAGCACTCTTTTGTGATCTGTGTAACTAGGACCCATCTAACCAGCCTTTGCGCTCATTGGTGTTGCTTGTGCTTTTTCTTGGTTGTTTGTTTCTGGGTCTATTTGGTTTTTGCTTTTTTCCATTTTGTTTAGTTTGTTGTTTTCCTCCTCGTTGTTGTTTTGCCCATTTGGTCTTTTTTTGCAGTTTTCTTTATTTTTGCTTCCCCCACTCTAGTCAGCTAGCACACTCAGAAGTATCAGCGTTCGAGGATTTAGTGGCTTTTCCTCTTTGTTTTTTCTGCATTATTGAGATAGGCTTGCGGCATCGCCGCTAGAGTAGTGAGAGTAGCTGGTGCTGTGTCTTAGTCAGCTGGGTAGTCAGTCCCCCGTGGTCCCTTTGTGTTGTAGGCAGTGCAGTGAGGATCGGTGATTAGCTAGTGTGTCGAGTGATTTAGGGAGTCGAGAGAGCGTAGTTAGGTGACCGGCATCATGGAAGACCCCTTGGACTTCCATCCTCCTCTGGATGGGATCCGTTTTGTGGACGTAATCGGCCGGGGCGGCTTTGGCCTGGTGAAGCTGGCCCGGCACCTGGCGTCGGGCAAGTACGTGGCAGTGAAGATCCTCCTGCGAGACTGCTCTCCCAGCAGCCCGCTGTCCGCGCAGGGGGAGGCAGCCATCCTGAGGAGCCTGCGGCACGACAACATCGTGCGGCTGCTGGAGGAGCGGCACACGAGGACGCACCGGTTCCTGGTCATGGAGCTGGCGACCAAGGGCTCGCTCCAGAGCTACGTGTTTGAGCAGGGCGGCCTGGCCGAGGCCGAGGCCAGGACCCTGTTCGGCCAGGCGCTGGCCGCCGTGAGCTACTGCCATGCCCAGCGCGTGGTGCACCGGGACCTCAAGCTGGGCAACCTGCTGCTGGACGAGCACATGACCATCAAGCTGGCGGACTTCGGCCTGAGCCTGCGGCTGGAGCAGGGCACACTGGTAAGGGGCTTCTGGGGGACCCCCGAGTACTGCGCACCAGAGGTTTTCCTCGGGGAGGCCTATGACGCTTTTAAGGCTGATGTGTGGAGCCTGGGAGTGGTGCTGTTTGCCATGCTGGCGGCCACGCTGCCCTTCCGCGGCAAGGACACGGAGGAGCTGCAGGACACGGTGCTGTGTGCCTGCTATGTGCTGCCGCGTGCCGTCAGCCCGGCCCTTCGGGAGCTACTGGCTTGGCTGCTCACTGTCCACGCCTCGGGGAGGCCCAGTGCAGAGGATGCCAGGGCACACTGGTGGTTCGATTCCGGCCGAGAAGCCACCCAGGAGGAGAAGGAGGCCGCTGTCACCCTGCTGCAGCCCCTGGGCGTTCCCCGCGACTCAGAGGCCAAGGAGTACCTGGCGGGCCTCGGCCTGCTGCCAGGCACGGGGACTGAGGGGACGCCAGGCCCTTAGCCCCAGGGCCCTGCATCCCTGCCCGAGTCCTCACAGGGCGGGGAGCGCCACCCCACAGAGAAGGACCGCTTGTCTGTGGTATCAGTGTCCTCTGAAAGCATGTCTGTCAATATTTCCTCCGCACAAAGCGACTCCTCCGAGGCCTCCAGAGAGTCTTGCCCTCTCCCCTGCCTCGGGGCCTCCAGGAGCTGAGCCCAAGGCCCCTGAGGTGACCCCACTCTTGACCTCTCCTACCAGGCCAGCCACAGCAGGAGAGGAGCCCTGCTCCCAGCACCACCCCCAACTCCTCCCAGGCCTCCAGTGAGTCTGGCCCTCCCCCCTGCCTCGGGGCCTCCAGGAGCTGAGCCCAAGGCCCCCGAGGTGACCCCACTCTTGACTCTCTCCACCAGGCCAGCCACAGCAGGAGAGGAGCCCTGCTCCCAGCGCCGCCCCCAACTCCTCCCAGGCCTCCAGTGAGTCTTACCCTCCCCCCTGCCTCGGGGCCTCCAGGAGCTGAGCCCAAGGCCCCCAAGGTGACCCCACACTTGACTCTCTCCTACCAGGCCAGCCACAGCAAGAGTGGAGCCCTGTTCCCAGCGCCGCCCCTGAGCCAGCCTCCGAAGCGTCGCCCTCCAGCCCCAGTGCCGGGAGCCACGTGGACCTTGCAGAGCCAGAAGCCGCCGCCGCCGCATCCTGTGAGCCCAAGGATGCTGACACCACAGACACCAAGGCCAGCGCCCAGGGCAAGAGGCAGGGCCGTCGCGGGGTCGGCAGGAGGATCCTCCGGTTCCTGCTGAGGGCGTGCTGCATCCTGCCATCCCAAGTGAGCAGCCCTGGCAGCTGCTGCAGAGTGGTCCCCAAGTAGCCTCGCCCCGCCCCCGTCTCCAGGAGCTATCCGCTGAGCTGACTGAACTTTTCTTGAGCATTTGCACATGCTTCTCATGAATAAAATTCACCATGTGTGCATGGCTTTGGTCCCGTGTGATGTTTGGTCCCTGTGTGCACCCTGGGCAGGTGATGGAGGTGACGGGTGGGTGGCTCTCACAGAAAGACAAACGCTGGGCCATCTCCCCTGTGTGGGGATCACAGAAGGGCTGACATCATAGAAGTAGAGCATAGAGTGACGGATCCCTGAGCCTGGGCCAGGGGAGGAGGGAGGGAGAGTCACAGCTTCCATAGTGGCACAGGCACACGGGGGTTGGGGTCTGATGAAGAGTTGACGAACCAGGAGAAGAAGAAAACGGATCCAAAGCGCTGATGCCTCCCGGACCCTGGGGGGAAGCTGAGCTTGATGCCCTAGCCTGCCCAGGGCTTTCCGGTGACAAGCCTATGAACTCCTTTTCATTCTGAAACCTGCTTGGGGGGAGCTTGTCTTATTTCCATCCAGCATGCTGAAACTCTTCCTGTCTTCATAGCTGGGAAGTTTCATTTTTCAGGCCTGCAAGCACAGAAGTTTCATTATCCCCCCTTGCCTGGAATTTGGAGCTTCCAACCCAGTCCCCTCCAAGAACCCTGTTTCTTCCTGTTGGTGGGGAAATTACCTGCAGTCCCTAAGGGTCATTACCCTTTCATGGCTGCTGCCCAGGAGCCTGCACAAGCGCATCATGGAAGAGGAAATTGGAATGAGCTGTAAACGATGAAGAGATGACACCTTAAGGGACAGGAAAATCAAAATGCAATGGGGGGGAGGGGCAGCAGTATGGTGTAGCTGGTAAAGCCCCCACCTGTGATGTTAACATCTCATTTGGGTGCCAGTTCCAGACCCGGCTGCTCCACTTCCTACCCAGCTCTCTGCTAATGTTCCTGAGAATGCAGTGGACGACGGCTCAAGTGCACCCACTGGGGAGACCCAGAAGAAGATCCAGGCTTCTTCAAAGAGACATGCATGCACACATGCACAAGAATGTTCAGGACTACCTTGTTGATGATACCAAGACTGAAAACAACTGATGTATGTGTACACAAGAAGTAAAGATTAACTGTGGTATAGTTACTGAATGCATTTTAGAAGGCAATGAAAATTAATGAACTTCAGCTACATATGGATGTGGATACAATGTGAGTAAATCTAAAAATCATAGCTCTGGGGGCTGGCACCATGGCTCACTTGGTTAATCCTCTGCCTTGCAGTACCAGCATCCCATATGGGCACCAGGTTCTAGTGCTGGTTGCTCCTCTTCCAGTCCAGCACTCTGCTGTGGCCCGGGAGTGCAGTGGAGGATGGCCCAAGTGCTTGGGCCCCTGCACCAGTGTGGGAGACCAGGAGGAAGCACCTGGCTCCTGGCTTGGATCGGCTCAGTGCGCCGGCCATAGCGGCCATTTTGGGGGTGAACCAACGGAAGGAAAACCTTTGTCTCTCTCTCTCACTGTCTAATTGCCTGTCAATAAAATGAAATAAAAAATATAAAAGCATAGCTCCACGTAAGAAATAGAACTCCCAATACCTACAAAAGTCATTTAGATACATACGATAATTGGTACATTATCCAGGGTTGTATCGGTAGAACAGCATAGGAGTGATCAACATAAACTCCTAAGAGTGTCTGTTCTTCAGAGGACTAATAGACCAGCATCCCAGTTATGTACGCTAACTCGGTGGTGGTTGTAGGCACGCTCACCCTACTCTTTACATTATATAGTTTTATACTTGTGTATGCATGTCACATGTTGCATTTTGTAGTGCAAATATTCATACAAAATGTAGCATTTTAACCATTTAAAATTACTTATTTCGTTCATTTGAAAGGGAGGGAGAGAAAGACAGAGATAGCTCTCTCATTCACTTGCTCACCCCCAAATGCCCACAACAGCCAGGGCTGAGCCAGGCAAAGAAGCTAGAGCAGGGAATTCAATCTGGGTCTCCCTGTGGGTGGCAGAGACCAAAGTACTGAAACCATCACCACTGCCTCCCAGAGTGCACAGTACAAGGCAGCTGGGGAACGGCAGGCACTGTGCTGTCAGTTACCCGCTGCTCGCAACACTGGTATCCCATATGGGTGCTGTTTTGAGTCCCCATGGGAGACCCAGAAGGAGTTCTGGGCTCCCAGCTTCTCCTGGGACAGCCCCGGCCTTTGCAGCCATTTGGAGAGTGAGCCAGCAGATGGAAGACCTGTGTGTGTGTGTGTGTGTGTGTGTCCCTCTCACTCTCTCAAATAAATGAGTTTTCTTTGAACAAGGAAGCTCGTGTTAGGAGCTGCATTACCAGGAAGCTGGAATCAGCCAGGTGGGAACAGAACCCAAGCACACCAAAATGAGATCCAGGCCTCCTAACGGGCATCTTAAACCTCTTTGCCAAAAGCTCATGGCTAAATGTTTTTTAATTGAACAGTTCTATGGCACTAAGCAGAGTCATGTGGCTGCTCAGCCATCCAGTTTTCATCTCAGGATTTTCAT